CAGGATAACCTCACTGCAACCTGCAATAGTGGTATGAAAACCGTAGGAGAGTTGACTTATATAGAAAGCACGCCCCACCCCTGGTTCCTGATTGGCTCATTTTCATGTAAACGAAGACTCCAAATCCTCACAGGTTGATTGGTCCAAAACTCGCTCTACTGATTGGTTAGAATGGAGTTGCTCTGATTGGTCAGTGAAGATGTTAGCTGTGCAGCTCCAATTGGGAAAGTCTCAGTCTTATTGGTCCAATTTCGATCCTAGAGCTCTTTAGTATGGGTGGGCTCAGTCAGGCTGCAAGACAGTGCAGGAAGCTTAGTATCCCAATCTGTAGCTTTTCCCTGAAATGCAGTGTGCATGAGGGACCTCTACATAGTGGCTGCTAGACTCTGGTTATGAATTTGAACCCAATGAACCACGAGGAGTCCTCTTTTTTGGCAGGTATATTCTTCTCGGGCTCAACACCCTCATATTTCTTTATCACAAGTTTAGCTCCTCAAAGCCCATTCCCATCTGTCTTTTATCTCCTGTGTTGGTCATCGTCCTGCCAGTCCTGTGGGGAGAAATGAGAGGCAGGCCAGGTAAAGGACCTGGCTGGCATTAGGAGGAGAGCCAGGTCAAGAAAGTAGCCTGGCTGACAGGGGCCAAGACCTTCAGAGCTAGCAAAGTTCCTAGCCTGCAGTGGAGTGGCCTATAGGCTGATCAGAGCAGCAGGAAGCCAGAGCCCCTACCAGCGGAAACCGGGGTATAACCCCATGCCTCATCAACCGTTAGAAGTGGGCTCAAGGCAGACTTCCTAACACCTGGACAGCTATAGACACCCACATGGGGCCCGTGCCCTTCCCTGCCTTGCAAAATGCTAACAAGCAGCATCACTTAGCTCAATGACGTCCACCTGTCAGACTAAATGTAAGCTGGCAGCTGGCCCTTCAGTTTCATGGTTAATTTTCCCTTCCTCGTGGGCCTGTGTTTGCTAATCAAACTCCACAAAATCCATAGCCTCTGGCTCCCTTCTCTTCCAATAATCCATTTTCCCCCTTGCAGTGCCCCCAGCGTGGAAATCCATATTCATGAATGATATGGTGTGGCTTGGGGATTTTGCAGCATCACTTTGACGAAGGCAGCTCACTGACTCAAAGCAGGTCCCTCCCCGTCATTCATCCAGCAAGCCCAGTGTGGCCTGCGATCCCAGGCAAGTCCTGGGGGGACAAAGATGACTGACCAGGGATACACAGAAGGAGCAGCTGGTAGGCAGCCAAACAATAAATTCCCAGAGGCAGTGCAGTAAGGCCGATGCAGTGAGAGGTGCCCATGGGCCCTGGGCCCTGAGAGTGCCAGGGCGGAAGCCCCACCTGGAAGGCCAGTGGTGACTTGGTCCGAGGAACCAGAGGGCAAGCACTCCAGGCAGAGTGAACTGCAGTCCCAAAGAGCATGCCACGCACAGCCCAGTACCTGCTGAGATTCTGCGTCACTTAGACTTGCGGGAGCCCTGGGAGTGGGACCGGCCAGGGGAGGCAGCCCCCATGTTGGAAGTGGGATGGCATCCTGTAAGAGCTTATCGCCGAACGGCACACAGTTTAAACCGGGACAGAGGAGCATCAGACAAGAAAAATGATTTTGGCAGCAGTGGAAAGGGTTAAAGGAGCAGGGGGCTCAAGGAGGAAGGGACAGCTGCGGAGAAGGAGAGGAGCAGGAAGGTGTGAGAGAGGTTAAGAGCCCATTAAGACTTAATGATCTCCTGGGTGGTTGTGGAAGACTCCTGACGCTCAGGTTTCTGGCTCAGGTGACAGTGGTGCTAGAACCTGGATGTGGATCAGCTGGAAGGGAAGGGTGGCGAGGCCAAGCTCGCACCCGCTGACTCGGTGCGTGCACATCCTGAAGCGACACCTAACCGAAGGATGCCATGTGCAGGAAGGTATCTGTGAAGCATCACCCTTGTGATAAAAGGTCCGAGGCAATCTCAGTGGCTACCAGCCGTTCAACCACTCGACAAGTATTTTGAAGCACGTACTCTGCCCAGGATGTATCCTGCTTTGTGGAGCCCACTCTCTAATGGGGTGGGGCAGTGGTGGGAAGGGGGAAGTGCTGGGGGTGGGGCTGAAATGAGCAGGGTCAAGGGCAAAGGGAGTCGACAAGGTTGTGTGGTGTTCAGAGCTGGCGGGGCCAGAAGGTGAGCAGAGGCTCCAGGAGGCCAGAAGGACCAGCTTTTGTGGGTTTGCTAGTTTGTGTTTTAAGGGGAGGGAAAGTGGCAGCATGTTTATAAGCTGGTGGGAACAGCCTGATCCTGAGGTAGTTTGCAGGAGAAAGAGCAGAGGAGGATGCCGAAAGGGATGGGGTCTAGTGCCTGGAGGGGGCATCCCCTGCTGGGGTTCCAGACAAGTCACCCAAGGAACCAGGAGAAGGCAGAGCAGGTGGGCGGCTGTATGGAGCTGGTACTCTCTTCTGATTGTTGCTGTTTTCTCTATGACACGGGAAGCACAGTCAGCAGCTGGGACTGAGGATAGGAGAGGGAGTGTTGGGATTTGAAAGGTGTGAAAGTCACCGTGAACAGTGGGTGTTTGACCAGGCCAGAGAGCCGTGATCTGTAGTGTAAGAGCTGAGGTTAGTGGTGCTTATTTTAAAGTGAGACCAGGAGTAATCTCCTCTGCAACATACAATATTTTATGTCTCAGCTCATCCTCCAGCCATCCCATGAGGCAGGCATTGACACCCCCCAACTGCTTGATGAAGAAACCGAGGCAGAGTGTTTTTGTAACTTTTCTCAGGACTCCCAGCCAGGAAAGGTGGCTCTTCAGGTCCCAGATCCAGCACACGGGACCCCAACGATCTGCTTCCATACGAAGTGCCCAAGAAAAGCCAGCCACTGTTTGCCAATTATAAGACACACGTCCTTATTGGGAAGGCTTGGAACACACCTTCCTCTGTGCATATTTTAACTGAAGTTCTGCTCTTAACCTACTTTTATATTATCCGTACATTAAAAAATTCATACTGCCATTTCCATCACAGTGAGTAAATGTGATTTTTACTGCTGTGTGTATGTGGTTTTGCTGGGAGCACTCAGCAGGGGGCCTGGTGGGCAGTGGATGTGCTGGCCCCTGCCTGGGGGCCCGAGGTGGTGCCACTGTCCTCCAGACCTTGACAGTCACCAGGTACTCTCTTCAGATGGAACCAGAGGAAATCAAAACAAGGAGCGTGCCCCATCTGGTAGGCTTTGAGAAGTGCAGACAACCCATCACGTGAGCTTCTTGCACATTGAAACTAGAATCTCACATGGTAGAGATTGTGGCAAAAAAACAAAAAAAAAAGGAAGCAAATATCATTTCAAACTCCAAGGCTGTAAGCACAAGTGCCTGGCTCAGAGGAGGCCTGCACCAAATATTTGCTATTTGCTAAATGCTTATCTTAGATAAACACTGAGTTTTAAGTTTTATAGTAAGCCTATGGTAAGCCTTACAATTCTATGAGGCACATATTTCTAAGTATTTTTGTAAATGGTGCGCAAACATTGCTACACGACACACAACTTCATGCCAAGTCACGTGGTAAAGCTTACCCCAAGTACCACATATACAACTATATTTAAATCCATACTACAGCCTCCATTCTCTACGCGATGGTCCTCATAGCATAATTCTGCTCTGTAGACCACACTTAGCATGTACAATGAAACATAGAAAGCATCTCTGTAAGTCGACATTTTCTAGCAATTCTCACAAGAACAAGTAAATTCTGGATAGCAAGTTTCTAGCTGAATAAGTGTCCAAGCAATTGTGCTAAAACAATTTTAAAAAACCAAAAAACCTGAAAAGCCATGCAGTTTTCACTAACGTAATGACATACAGATGAACGAGAGGCTGAAAGCATGGTGGTCAACATGCTTGTGGCAACCACACACAAAATAAGTTTAACGCCTTTTATCACTGCCATACTCTGAGTAACAAGACAGGTTGCTCTTCCAAGGCTTCTTGACGAGGCACGGGGAGTCCAAGAAAATGCCAGCCAAATCTGGATATTGTGGGAGGCACGTGGGGGAAGTGGGTTGTGGCTGGAACACCTGGTTCCCATCCTGATTGTTCAACAACTCCCTATGTGACCTGAGTGAGTCACTTGACCTCAGCAAGCCAGCCATTCTGATACCAAGACTTCCAACTTCTTTTCGGAACGACAACAGTGTCTCTTCTGTGGGGGCATTTTTCTTCATTACTTTCCCAAAGATACACTCCCCATTTCATTTTTTTTTTTTTAGCTGAGCCATCCTGCCACCTGTTGGCAGCTCAGCAGCAGCTCAGCTCGGGCCGGGCATCGAACCACTGTTGCTCAGAGCTCAAACTCTTGAGTGAGCTCTTAACCAACTGAGCCACTCGGCTGGCCCCGCACTCCCCATTTCTAAATGAGGCTTCCAGAAGTGTCTGCCATGTTCCTATTGGGCGTTGGGCACTGTGTGGTGGTTCATACTTCATATCAGAGCCCTGGTACTCAGGTATTATCATCTGCTCTTGCAGATGAGGCAAGAGCCTGTCTCCCCACTGAATCGGGTCTGTTGACCCACTGTGGGCCAGGATAGTGTCTGATCTCTGCATACCTGGAACATAGTAGGTGCTCAATAACTGTTTAATTGAGCCTAAGGTCACTTGCCCAGGATCATTGGGTGAGTCAGTAAAGATTCAAACCTAGGTCCTTCTGCCTCCAGCACTGAGCTCTGGCCCATAGACCGTGAAATGCATCCCTTCCCGGGCTAGATATAGGTCTGGATCATTCCAGAAGGCCATTCCTGGTTGGTTTCTAAAAATCGAGTGCGCCCAGACAACAGGGAAGATGCCCTTGAAAATGACGAATGCTCTCTGGGATCCCGCTGGGTGTCTTCTCGTGATTACAGAGTATCATTCTGAAACTCGCCTACCCTCTATCAACGGAAGTTACTACCCTCCGCCCCATGGAAGATTTACAGGAGGTATGTCCCTCTGAAATATGTCACCATTGTTTACGATGTTAGAGAGAAACCAAGATGAACTTGAAGTGAACTTGTGACCATTTACAGAGCACTGAATTTGGTGACAACCAGGCATCTTCTTTGGTTGGGCGGAAGCAAATGACCACTGTCAAGTTGAGACAGAGAGGTCACTTCCTGGGGTCAGTAAGGGACTTAGGTGAACCACCCTCAGATGGTGATTTTTTACAGGGCCCTGTAGATCTTGGTCTCCTTCTCTCAACCATTAATCTACTTTACCCGCAACAACCATTTCTCCTACAGGCCACAGAATGAAGCAGGAAAACTAAGGCTTTGAGGTGTTGCTGTCATGGCGCCTGGGCTGTGAAACAAGTGGGCTTGGAGGACCGCAGTGGACACGGGTCCTCAGGAAGAAGAGTCCACGCCTGCTGCAAGGGCCCCTTCCCCCGTCCCCACTGTCTCTTCTCCTCCTCGGGTGCTCCATCCTCTCCTCTGGCCAGGCCCACCCTGCTCTCCCTCCCTGGCCCTGTTCGGGGCTCCTACCTGCTGCCCGCACGGTGGACATGGCTGGCTTCGGTGAGCTGCCCCTGGGAGAAGCCTGAGGACGAGGCTGGGAATAGCCCCCTTACGCTCCAGCAGAAGACAGGCAGGGGCCCACCACATGAGTGAGTGATGCAAGAGGAAGCCTCCAGGGAGGGGCCATCTCGGGATGGGGCGGCCTGGGAGGAATGGGGCAGGGCTGGGCCCCCGCAGGGGACAGAATGCAGCCTCACAATCCTGCCCCAGCACGAAGATTCTCAGGTTCTGAGCCTGGAGTCCTGCCACTAGGAAGAGGGTCACAGACTTCACCTCTGGGAGTCAGACCAGTTGGGGAGACGCCATCTTACCACCACAGCCAAGGGGCTCCTTGATAAAAACTACAACTATGAGAGGTAGGGACCGTAGGGCCAACCAGGTGAGGACGAAATGTGACAGGCACCAAAGACAAAGGCCCCGTGTCAGGCTTTTTCCTGTGTCCCTAGAAAGTGTCAGCAGGGACAGACGGAGTAAGGTCTGTAGCCTCCCTTATTCATGAGTAGGCAAGAAAGGCCCCTAAATTCCAGGAACCAAGCCCCCCTCAGATGAGACCACCATGCATTCGTTTGCTTTTGTGGGTCATTCCCCTTCCTTTCCTAGGACGAGTTCCTTCTGCAGTTCCAAAGCAGACGGAAGAAAAAGGGAAATGTAGCAGTACAAGTGTACCTGTGTCAGGAAGAAGGGGGCGCCCAGAAAAGCCAGGGCTGACAGGAGGCGCCCAGGGCAGGGTCTACTCTGTCCAGGCTGTGTCCCGTGTTCACTGATTCTCAGGACGTCAGCCTGGCTGCTGCAGGTTAAACATTGGAACAGGTGTGGAATGTAGACTATTAATAGCTCGTAAGTGCATACCATGCACCACATTGCCTGGCATATCCATTTTCAAATCTGAGCTGTTACCTGAAGCTGACATGATGACAATAAGCAAAATACATAAAGCAAGCTTCAGTCCTCTTCAGGTTCAGCAAAAACATATCCCCTTCCTGTATTCCTACACATAGGAACCAGGCCCTGTAACCTAATTAACAGCCTGATTGAGGTAGAACTGCGTGCTCTTTCTTTTAAAGGGTACACCGCCTTCTTTTCCATCTCATGACTGCAGGTCCTGGCCTCGGTCATGTCCAGTCTCTCTGCAAGCTCCCCACACCGCCGAGAGAACCACCCCTGAGAGCCACGTGTTCAGCCACACTTAGCTGCACTCCAGTCCCCGCTGAAAACCTTCAATGGCTCTCCACGGCCCACAGTGTAAAGTCCAAGCACTTCTGTGCGTCATCTGAGGTCTCGTGCCCCTGCGAGAAGCATCCTCCAAATGGGCCAGTCTTTCCTTCCTCCTCTGAGTTTCTGCATCACTCATTTGGCACATTTTCATGGGAACCTCAGCAAGGCCGGGAGGGCTCTGCCACAGCTTCCTGATTGAGCCCACAGGCTCCAGGTCAGGCTGTCGGGCTTTCAGTCTTCCATTTCCTTAGAACAACTAACTAGGAGCCCACTTGTGACTCAGTTTGCTCATCTATAAAATGGGGGTAATAATTGCACCTACTTCATTGTATTTTTGTGAGAGGCAAAGAAGGCAGGCAGTGGGTGGCACTGAGTAAGTGTCCATCAGTGGGTGTGGTCACTGCCCCTGAGCACGAGGTGCCGCCTGGGGACCTTGCACAGGGCGTGTGCACATCAAGCATCTACATACATTAGGTAAAACATGACAGTCCGTCTGTTCCCCGACAGGTATCACAGGGAAGGGTTTAGGGTGGATCTGGTCATCTTTTTCCGTGAGCTACATGTGTATGTAATTTACTGAGGTTGGTTTTTTTCCCCATGTGGGATCACGCTCTATGTTTTGTTGTGCAATTTGCTTTTTTCACTTGGTGATCTTTACAAACCCATCGACATGTCCATGATCTCTGTCCTCTGTCTTATTACAACATAACAGGTGTCTGTTTGTTGGAGGGCCAGGCCCCCTTTCCCGTGCTGACTAGGTTCCTAACTGTCCCAGGGCCACCTGGCACGGAGAGAACAGCCACACTCCCTGCACTCTGTTGAACGCTCAGTTTAAGCTCTTAGGTCCAATGAACCAAACTCTACAAATCTTTGTGAGGTTTAGGGATTTGTACATCTAAATAATTGCAAATATATTAGAGAAGTCCCCTTAAACAGTGTAACCTGCAGCTATACATACGGCACGCTTGATTCTTTTGAATACTGCGAAACACCCTAGATGGCAAACAAAGCACAGACTACTGTAATGATGACAAAACCAATGTATTCCTCTAAATGTCAACATCATGGATTTAACATGTCTATTATTTCCTTTACTTTTTAAAAAAGACCGTTTTCAACTACAGCTGTATGTATTTTGATATTTTTCCACGGTTGAGAAGCCCCCCCAAAAAAAGAATACATGTCTAACCAGCCGAGTTAAGGCATTTCGGTTACCGATGGACTGATCCTCGGCGAGGGCTGGTTGCTCTTCCCAGGGCCATCAGATCCAAGTTGCTTTTTATAAGTAAACGCCATTTGCTGCATCTATCGGATTTGGAAAGCTCAAGCCCTTCACGTCGGTTTTAGTTCTCTGCAACCTTGTGTCTCCCCTAAAACGATGCATTTTAAAATCTTTAAAAACCCACCTTTGGGCTTTTATGATTAGTTAACCTCGTCCTGTCATCATGAAATAGTGATCTGTTAGCATTATTAAATCTTCTCCTATTAGTACTGTATTAAAATTAGCAAGGCCATCTAGAAATTCCACCGCCAAGAAATGAAGGATCGAATCTCCCTGGTTCTGTCGTCTCTTGAGGACACATGGGTGACCTGGGAACACACTGCTGAGCCCGCTCATCACGTGGCTTTTGTGTGTGAGCACTGGGGCTCCGGTTCTCACGAGTAACCGCCTGTGCTGACACTTCCTGTTTGTTCTGGGGCCACTGGCTTTGTTCACTGGTTCCATGCGTCTACCTGTTTCTACTTACACAGACAGAAACATGTACACAGCATCACTTTATAATCGGGGGAAAACGACATACCCATACGTTAGCTAGCAGTCTCCTACCATATTGGTTTTCTGTGCTACACAACAAATCACCACTGATTTAGCAGCTTAAAACAATGCACGTTTGTCATCTCACTGTTTCCGTGGGTCAGGAGTCAGCACGGCTTAGCTGGTCTTCTCTACCGGGTCTCACGAGGCTGCACTCAAGGTGTTCCAGGCAGCATTCTCACCTGAAAGTGTGAGTGAGGAAGCATCTGCGGCCAGGCCCATTCAAGTTGCTGGCAGGTTCATTTCCTTGAGGCTGATGAGTGAGGGCCCCACCTTCTTCTGGGATGTGGGCAGCCTCATAAGGTCCCTGCCACGCAGCCCTCCCCAGAGGCCATTCACAATATGGCTATTTGCTTCGGCAAGGCCAGGCGGAGACTTTCTAAGCTCAGAAAGGGCCAAGTCCCTCTTTAAAGGGCTTTTACCTCATTAAACCAAGCCCACCCAGATGGTCTCCCTTGCAATTAAGTCAATATGGAACTTTGTGGATACAGAGTGGTGTGGTGGCAATAACAGGTCACTTTTTCATTCAGATTCTTTTGTGTGAAAGGAAGCTAGTTCAAGGTCACTGCGTGAATACCAGTCATGTGTGAGTGCTCGCTGGGTACATGTACCTTCTCACTTCACCCCCCGACAACCCAGAGGGGCAGGCAGGTGTTATTCTCAAAGTTAGGATGGAGAGGACGGAGCCCTCATGGTGAGACTAGTGCCCCTATAAGAAGAGACACCAGGGCCAGCTAAGTGGCGCATTGGTTAGGAGTTGGCTTGGGACGCCAGCTCTGAGCAGCAGATCCCTGGTTCGGATCCCACATGAGGGCCAGTGATGCTGCGCCCTCTACAGCTAAGACGGTGAACAACAGCTCGACCTGGAGCTGGGCTGCCGTGAG